TGCAACTGCGATCTCAGTCTGAAAGCATAATATATTACTAAGCGCTGTATTAACTGTTGTGTATTCTATAATACTTCGTGTCATGCTTTTTCGTATGCGTTATATTTATGCTTTGTGGCACAATATTTGAACTGTGTTTCTCATCTTCAGCTACTGTGTAATGATAATGATGATGCCCGGTGAATCTGTCCTTAACGCACATAATGAGCTGTTTATCAAATCCTTTTCCAAACCCCTTCAAACCCGCTTCCCCGTTCTATTTGTTTTATGGAATTCCAATGATTCCCTCCAATATTGTTTCATATTCCACAGTACATCGACGTCCAGCATTGTGAGAACCGTCTTGGTGTCTCTCACGCTTTGGTTTAAAAGAAATTTATCGTCTTCGGTCTAGGAAGAGAGTAGTGAACATTAGTTTTGCCGAGATAACATTGGATGTAACTTTTTCTCCCAAAGTATACCCGAGAGCTTATCAGTCTGAATCTTGTGCACAAAGCTGCCTAATTGGGAAAGGCGTTTATTCGATCACTTTGTTTTTATGGTACCGAAGAGAATTAATCTGTCTTCGTTTGGTGAATTGTATCAATTCTCTGTATAGCTTTGATTTGTCCGACGTTGCTGCACAAAAGTGCTCAGTTGAGAGAGGCGTCAGAAAATTTCACACCGTTTGTCAAATTCCATAAATTGTTCCACAGTAATGGATACTTCACAACTAATTCCAGAATCTGATGCTTGCTATTCATCTTTTCCTGATCCAAGATAATTGGTGCCAGAGAAAGGCATTCAACAGGCTGTCATGATGGTTCCAGTGCTGCTACGTATCGGCAACTCAAGGTAGATTTATCACGAACTAACATTAATTTCAGATGTTGCGAGTTGTTGGCAGTGGATCGACGCCGATGGCGAAAGCATATCAAGATAGCGTTTGCCCAGGTGCAAGAGGAATCATTACTGCATGCGAAAAAGAAATGTCGGTTGAGAAAGCGACAAGAATCGATGGTAACTTACCTATCGACATGGAGCACATCGTGCTGTAGTACATGTGGTCGCGAGTGGCTCAGCCAAGCAGGTTTGCCAAGCCACAAGCGCCGTCACGTTGGGCCAACATCTAGGAGAAGACGAGTATGCTAAATGTGTAGGTCTAATCAGCACTGCGCTTGGTAAGTTCGCTACTTCCGATTCAGTTTACTAACCGAGGTCAGTGAGGTGGTTTATTACGTACCTGTGCCGCATCATCCTAGTAGTTGCTCTGTGCGTGTGCATTTTAGGTATTGACTGTTGATTTGTATCCCGGGTGAGGACGCGTTTGATGTAAATGTTGACAAGGTGCCTACCCGTCTATTACCCACCACCTCGCCTATCCTGGCTCCAGGAGACAGTTGGTTGGTGTTGGAGGAGATGGGATGCAGGATCCTCGTGGTCGTACTAGGCTCAAAGTGTGTTCCCTACATCCAGCGTGGAGCGGAGTACGGCTCAGCCACTGCCTTGTGTACATCTGGTACGCATGTTTTCCACTTAGACATGAATGCTTCTGAGGGTATACGGGTGTTCACTGCGCTGGCTGATTTGGCTGCAGACGTTTCATCGCCAGACTAGACGCAAGGGATGTAGGCCGGCTCCGTTGATGAAACGTGACTCCCATCCACATGTCTCCCGGTCTTATTCTTTCGAGTTTACACTGCTTATGGGTGTGTGTGGATGGAGCTCCGGCTGGTGCAGTGGCTGATGCACTGGAAACCACCCATGGTCCCTCGGTCATCATTATATCATCATTATACACGTTAGCGAGAGGTTGGAAACACCTCAGCCACTGTGCCGCAATACATAATGGAAAAGGAAAATAAATACAACAGTTGCATGCCAGCTAAGCTACCAGCAACGGATAGGCATCGTTCCAGTAAGCTACCAGCCGGCTAATAGGCAAAAAGAAAAAATACTATGTTGTACGCTACGAAACGAGATCGTAGATGAAGGGGAGGCGAAAAGGGGTGAGGAGGGACAAAGAAACTCACAGCAGGAACGCCACTGAGGTCGGCTTCTAGCCGTATCAACAAATATATCCAGCCAAACGTGTTCATCATCTTTTGGACCCCAACCAGGGAGCCGTGACGCTCCAAACGAGGCCAAATCCAAAGTGAGCGCCTTCATTACCCTCGACCAAGTCAACGCTTTGCCACCTATCCTATTCTTTCATCCACATCCCTGGTGAGTAAACAACACATGTTGTGGAAGTCTGTGGGCTGGCATGCGCAACACGTGACCCAGCCATCGGAGCCTGCTGCGTGAATTGACGGTGCTGAGCGGTTCAGTTCCTTTTTCTGTGCCGTAAACAAGGCATCGAACACGCTCGTTACTCACTCAGTGTTCCCACCAGATGTGGGCCAAACTGCGAACGCACCGATGATCGAACGTAAATAGCCGGTTTATGTCCGCCGACCTTAGGGGCCAGGTTGCGTAACCGTACAGTCGGGTCGAAGGTACCACTGCATTGTACACTCCACCCTTCAGCGCGGGAGTAATGTCGCGCCGCCACAATAGGTGGCGAAGGTTAGCAAAAGCACTTCGAGTTTTTGCTATACGGTTCGTGATCTCGTCTTCGATCCCAAGGGCGCTGATGCAACTTCCCAGGTAATTGAATTTCTGAACGACTTCTAACTGATCCCCACCAAGGGTCAGCGCAGGAGACAATCCATGCCAACCTTGGACAAACGCTTTGCATTTCAATGGTGCAAAGCAAAGCCCGAAGCGGTTGACATCCAGTGCTAATCTGTCCAGCGCGGCTTGGCATGTCTGGGAGCACCCACAGATGAGGAAAATGTCGTCTGCATACTTTAATTCAAGAAGTCGTTCACCTGGGAGTAGCTCCATACCTTCCAAGTCATATTCTGTAAATACAAACTCCATGACTTCGTCAATAGCGAAGTTGAAGAGGAAAGGTGACAATGGGCATTCTTGTCTCACACCGCTGGAGATATTGAAGGGTGGCACAGGCGTCCTGCGGCTGTCCCCGTGGAGGCCGCAGTGACAGGCAAATCCGGAACCGGATGCCGCCAACCACGTATCGGCGTCCACTACCAACCATGTGACGGCTCGCATTCTATACTCTCTTGACTCGATCGATACACCAACGTGTCATAAGAATCAGGATACCATGCCTTATCGGAACCTAAATACGAAAGGCTAGTACTGGGTTTAAATGTGGTTGAACCTTTTAACCAACATGTGGCGTCGGTTGCAGCCCAGTAAGTATTCTGAGGATGCACCGATTGAACACGGTGCATGTATAATTTTTTCTTCCAAACTATCCCTGAAGTTATTATTCAATGTTTTCTGCTCAGTTCGTCGGTGAGTATTGTATTAACTTAATAAATAACTAAACTTTCATTCTCGGCTAAGCGAGGCACGTCTGAACAGGCTTGATAATAGTAATAGTGCAACAGATGATCAAGGAATGTATTTATATTTTATTTAACACTTGCCCAATAAATATTTAGCAGAGTGCCACAACACAAGATTAGCAATAACAAAAAGAGAGAGTGAGTAGGAGGAATGGAAGCAAAGTTCCATGCGTTATGTGGGTGTTGAGCTTCCCGGTTGCCCAGGCTGCGGAAGAGGGATGACTTAAAGGACCCCACTCCGAGCCTTTGGTCTAAAGACTTGACCCGGAAGGCAGCAGGGTGATTCTCGAAGACCGTTGACAGCCAAGTGACTCATTCGCCTTCTTTGGGTTCGGAAGCAGTCCACAGAGAAGCCGGTGGCCAGCGAGCTTTTTCACCCGCCCTCCGCTAGATACCTACCCCCAGTTACAGGAGTGAGTGGTCAGTGACCCCATAGCCGGTCGCATTGGCTTTGACACAGCGCCGTACGAGCTCTGGTAGTATTTAATGGAGAACCAGGTGACCAGCCCAGAATTCCCCACGCTCTGAGACGCTGCCGCTTATTGTCCGCGACTGCTTATTAATCTCGGCTGCAAAGCAAACGAGACTTATTCGCAGTTACCTCCACAAGGAAGGCATTCCTCGATCCGCAACCTGTGGACGCGCCCGATAGCCTACAGCTCCGTCACGGGATCAAGGAATGTACAATAGGATATTCATAAAAGTGTCGTATATCTTGATACATGAATGTATTTATGCGTGCATGTAAGTCTGTGTTGCTTGACATTGTAAAGCTTCTGCTGCTTTTACTTGTGTCTGAACGTGTCGCCAATGGTAAAGGGATGTTTGACGTCGGTGGATTTGCAATGATTGCACAGGTGAGCATTATGTTGCTGGTATATAATGCTTTGCCATTATGAAGCAAGGAGCAGTGACTTTATTTAGCGGTGAGTCACAACCACCACGCCACAGTGTTGTTAAACGGCCATATGTGGCTGTTTTAGGAGGAACGCTGACCAAGTGAAGACCCACGACGTCCTGGAACACTGCCGCCGAAATATTTGTTGGAACCGGGTAAACCCGAAGCACCCAGCTGGCACCACGAGGATGTTGTTCTCCTAACCAGCCTACGACTCTTCACCTATTTCATCCATCATAAAGAGGAAACTGAAAAGTCGCGAGAAATTACCATGTATTCAACACCGAGTGAATAAATCCAGTACTCATCAGTTGAGTCAGCTCAACTGCTTTACTCTACCTCATCACATATGCACGTTTGCGTTTCGTGATCTTTTGCGCGCATTCCACACTTTACGACCACCTCATATATTTAGTGGACCAAATTTGTGCAGAGAACCGACAAGTAATATCCGGGCATAAAGTGTATACGAGTGGCCAACATCAATGCAATAAGCAGTTATTTATGTGTGTTACTCATGTATTACTGAAGTTACAAAAGCTTATCTCTTCTAAAAATAATGAGCTCGCAGCTGAAAATGACGTCCGAACACATGCAGTGGCATTTCAGCCCTATCACCTGATCGACCATGGCTAATCGATCCAAGTCGATTGACCTGGTCAGATGTGCTGATTTGAGTTTACCTGCAACATGATGATCAAGCTATGCCGAAGTATCTCATTCAATTCGTAGCCGATGTGTCTGATCTATCCCCCGATAGCCCTCCTGATTACTCGGGACACAATGGAAGCAATTCTGGAATTCCGCATCTGACAAACTGCGTAGAGCAAAATCTCAGTGCTCCACCTTTAATTCCACCGGATAACTTCGACAATCCATTAACTGAAACCTTAACAGGCCCATTATTAACTCCATCTAAAAAGACTTTATCGAAGGCCACCACTGCTCTATCCCTAAATCAAAACCACATCTATACATCCGAAAGTGACAGTAATGTTTTGAGACCCCATGCAATTTCCATGGGTAACGCTGCGTGCTGCTTGCCAGAAAGTGAACACTTGAGGTGCCTGCATTCCGCAGCTCTGAACACTGCTTACACACCTTCGGGCCATCATCAACCCACAATTCAGCGAATGTTTCTCATGTCGCGAGCGGTACAGTGCACTGACTTAATCGACTGTGGACACAACATGTGCAATAATCACAATTATCAATCATCTCTTCCCTCGGACAGCCACGTCAGTGTGGTGAGGGGAGCTGGCTCTAGAGCTGATCCACGTATGGCAAGAGGCATAGCAGTATCGACTAACTTCCCCCACGAAATGAAACAGACAAAAAGCGTGGACACATGTGCCTTCGTCAACCGAAGGAGTGAGTTGTTCAACTCACGCTCCGAACTTTCTGTAGATGTAAGCTCTTTGTCCTTGCAAAAGTGTTCAAGTGTGACGTCGCCAATCAAGCAACCCATGAGCTCGCTCGCGGCACCCGAGGAAGAAACGTTTGGATTGCAATGTGGGCATAATGATGAGGATATTGACAGTTTATCGGCTACCGTTTCCGCTGTCTCACCTTTAGTCGTGAAAGACATTCCAAAACCTGTGAGTCAGAGAACAGCCGCATGTGGTCGACAAAACAAGGAGGTGGCAATGGAGAACGGGTATCGTATCCGTACTTTATCGGAGGATTTGAAGACAGGGCGAGGTAATGCAGATGGCTGTAAACCCAATTCCCAAACAACATTCGGTCCACCATGCTCAGCCAGCAACCTAAGGTCCTTCGAACGCAGTGCATCGAAGCACAGTCATGAGCTGGAGGACAGTTTAGTCCGACAGTTTGGTTACTCTAAAAGAAGTAACGGTAACAAGGGTGTATCGAAAAGAGTGAATGCAGATACTTTGAACTCCTGCACCGCAGGCAACTCGATTGAGAGCGTTACTGAAGAATGCACCTCAGTGCCTATGGAAGAAACTGAGTTAATAAATGCTACTGCTCCCAACAAGCAGTTGAATGCAAATGTTGGTGTTAAGCCACAGCAGGAAGCCTTTTTGCCTGTCGAATCAAAAGCTGCTACTGATAACGGCAAATGTAGACTAGCGAGTGAAGCACGCACTTTGCGAGAGTACCGCGAAGCGAATCCAATACCAGCGGAAAAATGGGATCAATGGAAGGAAAACATTTCAAGTGCAAAGACAGAAACGTTATTGCAAAGATCTCTCATAGGTACACATCAAAAAGATGGTCAAGAATGTTCAATACGATCTGGTACAAATGGAGTCCACCGCATGAGGTCACCCAAAGACCGTGACGATGCGAAAGTCAGCACGAAAATTCGCTCATTGAGCGAATCGAGGATTCCTATATCACAAATGTGGTATCATCCTCCGGCCTGTAGGCCTCCTTCCATCACCTTGACGAGTGCAAATGGTAGTAGAAAGTTTGAGAGCAATCCAGTTGGTGTAACTAGCCCACAGACAACCCACGTGTCAAATGACGAGCCACACAACACACTAGAGGGGAGCGGCACAAAGAGTGGGACGGAAACTCCGGTAAACGTTTCAGAACAGTCATTGAACGCAGCTATCATAACTGCAAATGACCTTCTCCGTCTCAAGTCCGCGAAACGAATTGATCTTGCGAATCCACTGGGTGAACGAGAAGCATTGGTGCAGCCTGCATCTGAATGTCTCGTGACTGAAACATGTCCAACCCAAGGTGCAGTTCGTAAACGGCAGTCACACTCTCTACAACCAAGACCTAGCACGGTCAGTGAAGGTACACACGATCATAGCTCCCGTGTGTTTTCTAATGTATTGAAGGAAGAACATCCATCCATTCGTCCTGTATCAACTGCCAATTATCCGACCAAGAGAAACACGAACCAGAATTCATCCTGTGTTGTCTTGTCGCAGGAGGGGACTGAGTCAACCGACAATCAGCTCAACCGGACAGATCCAGTCAAATTTCCTGGGTACCCTACTTCATCACTGTCGAAAATAAGGATGCACAAGAACGGTCCTTTAGCTAGTCCACCAGGTAACCTATTCACCGGTCGGCGCTCAAACGAAAGTGTCGCATCAGCCCCCCTGCATTACTATGCTCCTCGAAGCGGACACGGCACAAAATTGGTCCGCCGTAAATTCTACATTCCAGAGAGTGCAAACATTGAGGCAATACTGGCAGATCCAGATGATCGCCGTATAAAAGCCATTTGTGAACGGTATAAATGCGATGTTGAGGTCTACTCGAAGTTGCCGTGGTGCGGTTTCTTGCAGTATATCGTTGTTTTGGCTGCACGTGATTCTGCCTCATTGCGTCTATGCGCGCGGACACTGGATTATCGACTTAATTGGTGCCTTAGCGCACAACTTCGGTGAGAATAGCAACTTCCATCCTTTCCTCGCTCGTCACGCTATCCTTAACTTTTTCGGCGCAATAACCGGCCTGCCACATGCTGCCCTAGGTGTATCATATTAGCGCCTTCCTCCTTCACCCAAAAGTCGATTTTCACAATATGAAAACCTGTAATGCATCGAGGTGGTTTGATTCCACCAAGCTTTTTTTGTTGTTAGTTATCAGACGCCATTACCATGTAGTTTAGGCGAGGCAGCGATTAATTTATCAGACTATCCAGATGATTCACACTAAACTACTTATCAGATGGAGTTCGCGTAACAAGGTGACCATTCTCTAAATTAGTGCTAACTCTGATTTGAAGCATTGCGATAACATCCTGCTGAAGCCAGCTTGTTGATCTGGTATTTTGGTAATGTTCAGAAGGCACACAAATATGAAACCTATGATCCGCATTAGTATCATACCGCCCCCAGTGCTAGGCAGACGCTACTAGGCTGCGCCATCTCGCACCAACGCAAAAATAGATCTGAAGAGGTTATTGCTGTTCCGCTATCCTCGGCCGCTTTATCTCAACCAACAATCCTATTATTATCCTCAAGTCATGTAGCGGACGCTCATAGATTTCTCTACTTTTCAAGCCGCCGTCTGATACACACGGCCGAGTACAGTCTGACGATTAATTTGATACCAGAACCAATATCAGAGGATGTGTACTGCACTTCATGGGCGACATGTTGACTGCCCATTGCTCGTGAAGCGGTCTTGTGTTGCAGCTCATTCCGGATTAACCTCAATGCCCTGGCGGCAGCTGTAGATCAGGTCCCAATTTGATAACGCTCTGTCCTTACCTACGTAAATGAAGTCGGGAAGAAAATCAAACAGCCGCAGTAGTCCACGATGTTCTAATGGCTGGTAAGACCAACAAGTATTATTTTAACCCCCCAGATACACAGCCCTGTTGCACCAAGGCAGCTAATAAAATGCACACTACCTTGGTGTCAGATAGTGGAAACGGGAAGTACTCAGGTGCAGGTCAGACAATATACAAAATATCCAGCAAAATACAACGCAATGGAGAGTTTTAGCTATTCATGTCAATCATTTTGTATAATAATTGGTCCTACTTTCCATAAGCTCAGAAGCTAGAACGTCTCTCTGTTAATAGTTGAAATTTGTCATCCAACCATGTTAGATTTTACATTGGAGTGCAATTCTTGTGCCCATTGCGTAGACACGTTAAGTATTGATCACTGTATATCTGCACCGACCAAGGACTCTTAGCACAGGTGAACTCCGGTTACTGTTAGTTCAACACCACGCATGACTGTCAGAGCGGAATTGGTTTCATCCACTAGCATCATCCGTTTGGAGATCCCAATGCAGATACAGTAAAGATGGTTTTTTCTTTCTTCATGACCTATGTGATCACCATCTGATTGATTTCGGGACCCACCTTGGACAGAGTACTGTACAACTTAGATGGGTCGAAATCACCGGGGAACGTGCAGTTCACTGAGCACAGCGTGCCACCATCACAAGAGAACTGAAGCAGAAAGAACGCCTCAAGCCATTAAAATATACCCTCCTGAAACGTTGGAATTGTGGCCAACAATTACCATTGGCATGATGGGTTGGAATTTGGAGTACATTTAACAATCGAACCCAACATTTAGTTTTCGTTGCCCACTACTACAGTATCCCGCACTAATGGAGTGGATCAAAGTGTATTTGGTTCCCCGGAAACGGAGAGTAGAATTCAGGAGTTCTGGAGCATAAGTCCAATTTGTCCTACATGGTTTTAGACAGTTACAGTTTATTTCTGGACAACGTGCGATCCATGCAACTGAAAGTGCTTTGATCGTGATATTTTACCTATTGATACAACAGTAGCCTTTAAAAGAAAGATAACACGTACCGAGGTCTACACAATTTCAAAAGTAGAACTGATAACGATAGCTTTTGCTAGTGTGTCCAATATAAGCGGGATACGACTGAGGAACAAATTGCTCATGCAAACAAATCTGGTCAGTTTGTGACCAAAGTCCTATGACCTTTAAATTCACGTAGTCGTGACTAATGCCCCTAAAAGAAGCATAAAACGTTACCATCTCACAAATCTGAGAAAGCAGGCATTAAACACCACTGGTGACTTTCAGACTTTAATGGGCACTGATGCGTCGATAGCGATAAGGCAAGACAGCGAACTGTAAATGCATCCTCGGCAATAGCAGCCTTATGGGCCCTAGTGGACTAATCATGGGCTAAGATAGCTTCTCGGCCTCCGACCAACGGCAGTCGCTCTTTGTCCTTCCCGTTAAGGTTTAAAGAAAGTCGATGCAATGAATAACGGTTGCGTACGGCTTAAGCGGCTCTGCTTTACAAGTCCGGTTGGGTGATCTGGCGGGGTTATCGAAAACATTACAATAGAAAAACAGTTAATAATTTACGGACAGCCATGACTTATAGTTTTGTGTGTTTGTGATGCAGTAATTCTGCTCTCCTCGTAGTAGTAGAGCACAACCAGGTGGCACGTGGTAAATCCAAGGTTTTCCCCACCATTGTAACAGAGCACTAATGGTAACTGGCTAAATGCGACATTAAATCGCTGTTTAAATGTGCATTGTATCTATGCACTTCAGAAAACATGGGAGAGCGGAAAAATATTTCCTATCACATTCCCGGCACCTGGACTGTGCTACCAGTTTCAACCAATGAACTCTCATTTTTGTGTTATTAATGGACTATACTAAGGAGCGACAAACATTATTTGGATCGTGTAGGACCTTATAGATCATAACCAGGTCGTCTGACAAATTAGGATATCGTCCGTTGAATAGTCCCAAGCGTTTCAGCCAATCTATTCCAATGAAGCTATAACCACCAAGCTTAAACTGCATAGTTGACGTGAAATTTTGACAAAAATCAGTGATATTTGTGTGTTCATACCCCAGTCTTAACAGTCTGACGTGTTGTGTATCAGCTTTTGAAGCAAAACCAGATTGTCGGGAACAACTTAAGTCATCTTGAACGATCATGCCTAGGTTATGTTCGACAGAAGATCACCGCAGTACTTATGTTCCTTACCTGTGCGAGTGGGTGCTCTAGTGTAGGAAAGATACCTTGCATTTACTCACACGGAATTGCAATACTTTTCGTGTTGAGCACTGGTGTACCAACTCCAGATCACACTAGACAAATGCTGAGTGGAATTCATCTGAATCTTGTGCTATAATTTGCAGTCGCTAGTAAACTGTATGAAATTCGTGGCGATAAATTGTGCGAGATCATTCTTGAATACAAAAAGCAAAAAGGTCCCAGAACGGTACATTGAAGGACACCAGGTTCGAATGGCGTAAGGCTGGATTCTGAGCTACGGGCTCAGATTACTAACTACCGTTGATGAAGAAAGTTGGCGATCCAGTTTATGAGCTTGTCACTGACTGAAACACTAGAGCTGGGGAAGGAAAATCTGATTATATCGACGATCGAATGCCTTCGTAATGTTTAGGTAGATCACATCCGCGCCCTCTCTAGCGTCAGCTAACTCGGTCTATATACATTGTGCAATTAGAAACTTAGTAATGGATGAACTTTATCGGCGGTAACCTCACTCTTCAGGAGCAGTAATGCCTCATTTTTCCACACAGACCACCACCGCATCGGCAATGATGAATTCCGTGACCCTGAACGGTACAGGCGGAAGAGATACTGGGTGTTTGTCTGAGGGCTTGGTCCTGATTCTTCCTTTGTGAACCGAAGTGATTACCCCAAGATTCCAAATAGCAGGAACGTGGATCTCGTCTAAGTAGCACTGAAAGAATTGAGCTAGCAGGTCAGTCCGTGTTCTTGGTGCTGTTCCCAGTGCTTCTTTGTGAACGGTATTCACTCCAAAGGAGCTGTGTTTGCGCAGACACGTCAGTTATTGTAATACGACTTCAGTGGCAAAACAAATATAAGTAAGTTTTGGCGGCAGGATTACAAATCTAGAAGATCGACTGAAAATAAAGCTCAGCGGGATGCGGGAGTATACTGTGTTTGCAACGCTTTGCTATTTATGTAATCATAACTGTTGGGCCATTAGCTGTCCAAAGAAGTGGGTATACTTAAATCCCGTTTCGAAGACCCTGGAACCGCTTATAATGCGCTGCATGGTTGGAACCGCTTCTGCCATATTTCGCTAGCTTGCTGAACTACCACCTCGTGGTGCAAGCTTGGTGGTTCTGGTTTACTGCCGTTCAGCGAAGTGTTCAGCTGTCGTATTCTAGGAGGTGGTGCATTTTCGCCTGAGAAGCGTCCTCTCTATAACAAGGCACATTTGTTCGCTTAACAACAGGACTGAATCAGCTCTGCTTGACTGGATCCCAGTCAGCAGTCGGCTATGTGCGGTCAGACTACGATGTTCATGTAAGTTAACTAAGCGTCGAGATATTATGCGTGCCTTGTTTGGCGTTTCCGCCTACGCCCCTACAGACTGCAGCTCGGATGCAGTCAAGGAAATCTTTTACCGGAAGCTACATGAACTTCTGCTTTCCTCCAAACGGATTTACATAGTCATTTTTGCCGGGGAGTTTAACACACCAGTGGGCCGCTTTCCACCAAGCGAGCATCACCTTGGGGATAGTTTCGGTCTCGGTGGCAGTCGATCAGACTATGGAGACAGACTACTGACTCTTTGCTGTGCTCATCGCTTGTATCATTTGAGCACTAGTTTTCGGCACTCGAGGAGTCATACTGCTAGCTGGCGCCCGCTCTCACAAACGCAAGAGTGCTCTCAGCTTGATCACATAACAATCAGCCACCGATGACGCGGAAGCGTAAAGGACTGCTGATCGTACTGGCCAACTTATCTAGACTCCGATCACGCACTGGTTCGTACTAAGCTTTGCATGCTTTTCGGAGGATAACCCAAGCGCGCTCACTACCGACCAGATGTCGCAAATCTACAAAACCCTGCGATTTTAACCAGGTACCAAGCCTCAATGTCAACCTTGTTTGGCTCAACTACTGAGAGGGACCTCTG